GACATGACTGATGGCTCCTACAGTCAGCAGCCACACTCCCTCTGCTCCCAAACTAAGCATCGGTATGATAGTGGTGGCCCTGCCAAGATATTCTAATCAATCTCTGCAGCAAAGACAAATTGGGGTTTTGGGGCAGAGATTCAGGGGCTTGTGGGAGCGCTGAGGTGGATGAGAGAGGTGGGGGTGTTGCATGGTTGAGGTTAGAAGAAAGAAAAAAGGAGGCAGAAATGATGGGGTTGGGGACAAATGACCTGGGAAACCAAACCAGACCCCTCTTCCACCTCTTGCACAGTTGTTGCCCTCCTTCCATAGCTGCGTATCTTTCCACAAGCTGTTTGTCTCTCTCTCTCTCTCTCTCTTTCCATCTGTCTGACTGTGTCACTCTATCTTTCTGTCTCCCCCTGACGTACAGCACCAATCATCTAAGTCCCAGAGACGGAAGGAGACTGTGGTTTTCTGTGTTAATGCTGAGACAGAGCTAAACCGGACCTTTCTGTCTGCAGAACACAACCATTGTCCACAAACACATCTTTATGTTTTACCAGAACCACAAATACTGGGGGATACGCTTCAGTGAACTGTGGCAGACCTTGGTTCCAAATTTCAGCGCTCCAATGAAATCACAGATACCAGATAGACTACTGAGCTGAGCTGTTTAAAAACAGTTATTACTATCAGCGGGAATTTGTTTAGTTTTACAGAACAGCATCACAATACAACGCTAATGTTCTCCGCCTGAATAAGAAAGAGTCTGCTTCTTTTTTTTCTTTTTTCCAAATGTCAGTGTTAAATGAAAAACAAATTTAGTAAAAAAAAAAAAAAAAAAAAAAACCCCCGTTTTTTCATGGGTAAATTTTTTTTTTTTTTTTTTTTTTTTTAGATATTCTCCTGTTAAACAATAGAAGAGAAGGAATGAGGCTCCTGTCAAGATTTAAGAAATTTGTACAAACAGATGTATTCCAGCCAAACCATGTGAAACGTCTTCCCAGTGTGTCTTCAAAGGCAGGTTAAAACAAACAAAACCTGATGCCTCAATTATTGGTGCGTCAGAAAGTCTCATACACAGACTGGTAAATGCAGTTAATTACAGTAGAACTGCATTTAATTCACCGTGCAACTCAAACCTCAATCATACTCAAGTAGCTGCGTGCACACACACACACATTTGTGACCTCACACACACACACAGGATACAAAGAGCGCGAGAAAAAAGGAAAGAGGTAAATGAAATGTTTTCACTTGGAGCCAATTACACAAAGAGGAACCATGTCATTATCTGCTATTGCGGATTGTATTTTCCCAAACTGTGCTCAACTGTTGGCTCATTAACAGTTGGGGAGTTGACGGGGGCTCCTTTTGGGGGCTTTTCTGTGCAAATGTGTTTAATGCCAACATTACCAGGAGGCTGCTTCAGGCAGTTTGTGTGGCTATTTGTCACCACAATCCATCTTGATAATGACTAGCAGCCCAGATATATTGCTTTCCAAGCTAAGTACTGCTAAGACCACAAGGCTCCGGCTAAGTGTCACAGTGTTGAGGGCTTCAGCGGAGTGTGAGGGAGAGTGTGAGACACTGTAATCGAACTCAGAATTAGGTATCGATCAGTAACAGATGCTAATACTACTTAGCAGCAGAGACACAAGCAGTTACTATTGTGCTGAGCTTCAGCTAGCTTAAAAGTTGCGAAGCAGTTTCTGGTGCGCTGAGCTTCAGCTAGCTTAAAAGTTGCTAAATCGTACAATTAACAGCATCATTTATAATTTTACTGAATGTGTTTGGATTTTTACTGCATGTATACAGAAATATACTATATGTATTTATCAATGCTAATACTGCTTTGTAGCTGTAAGTTTTTTCTGTTTCTTTTTGCTTAGCCTGAGCTACCTTCAAGATGCTAAATAGCCAAATTTATTTGGAATTAATTCAACTAAATGTCAAATATTTTTGTCTAATATTTACAGAAATATATATATATAAGTATTTATCAATAACTGATTCTGCTAATACCTTTTAGCAGCAAGGCCGTTCTTTTTTATTAGCTTCAGTTAGCTAAAAAGTTGCTAAATATATATATATATATATATATATATATATATACTCTCATCATTCATAATTTAACTGAATGTTAAGTGAATTTTTCCTAATGCCTTTAGAAAAATACATGTATGTATTACTAACAGATGATGCTAATACTACTTAGCAGCAAGGTTTGAACTTACTTTTTTTTCTGTTTGGATTTGCTTGGCTTCAAGCAGCTTAAAAGTCCCTAAATAGTCTAATTGCCAGCATCATTTGTAATTTTACTGAATGTCCACGGAAACTCTAGCGTCTCTGACAGAGTCTAAAATAAATCTGTGGGTTTAACAGTGTTTGACTGCGCAGCGTGAGTTTGCGAGGACTGGCACCCTGACAGGCCGCAGCATGTTAAACTGTTTAAATGTTGTTCTTTAAAGACATATTTTTTGCTCACAGGCAGAAAAAAAAAAAAGAATGTTCTCTGGGGTTTGAGAGTGGCCACAGCTGAACTAAACGCAGCACTTCTCTGCCATTTTAATCCACTTTCTGCGGGATTTTCTCAGCGCGTGTTCATGTGTCGCCCAGGGTCCTATCAAGTGCTTGTTTAACTGTCTTCAGTGGCTTAGAGTGAAGTGTTCTCAGTTGTTAAAGAAAGTGAAATGTGTCAGTGTTCAATCCTCCCTGACATCAGAGCAGACTGTACGAGGTGGTGCAGTCGCCGGAGCTGTGAGATCAGGATCAGGAGGCAAACACACACACACACACACACACACACATACATTTTAATCAATTTACACATGACTATTTATAAGTGAGCACCAACCCAAAAACGTATATTTTATCCATATATTATACACAAACAAGTACATATTTCCCTGATGTGGGTGTGTAGGTTGACTGGGTTCAAAAACATTAATATCTATTTTTAAGTTCACTGTCTTAATCCCACAGAGACGCTCGCTACAACATACTGTCATCACTCACTAATTCTCACACTCAACACTAATTCCCTGAACCTCCTCGCCACTAATTACTGTAATTTAGTTGACACTTTTATCCAGTGCACCTTACTGTACCTAGAAGGCATGGATTTTTACGATGGGTGGCCCTAGTGGGAATAAAACCATCAGAGCTGGCAGGGATACTGAATAGCTGTACAACAACCGCTGGTTAAATTACACACTTGTGCTTAGTCACTCAGAGACTCACTGAGTCACTTAGTCTCACACTCACGTGGGAAGTGTGTGTGTGCCGACCTCGCTCAGAGACACTTTTCCTAGCAGCGTGTCGCTTTAGAAAATACAGGGTTCACAATATACTGTGTAAAAGTTGACAAAATCTGAAGCACTTTCGTTCAAATTAAATTTTTTAACAAATATGTAATATAAGACCTTTGACTCGTTGCATGGGACCACATCACCAGATGTGTTGTTGTTGTTGTTGGTTTTTAAATTACTTGAACACGTATTCCTTCCAGAATTTTTTGTTGATTAAACTGGTTAAAATCGTATTTTTGAACATGTTAAATTTTCATTATTTGTAAAAAATAATTGGTTTTTGTACCTCTCACCACAGTAACGTGTCACAGATGAAATCAGGGATGGTTGTCCACCTTCACTGGTCCTGGCGCCTGCTTCCAAGTTTGAGTTTCCATGGCAACGCAATCTGTAGTATCCGCAGGATTGTCCCGGCTCCTCTTTCCTCCCCTGCTAAAGAGTAACAGTCTTGGACACAGTCAGTTTACCATCGTCCTGGGAAGCCCTGTACGTCTGCGTTACTTCCTCCCTCTGTCGACTCTCTTCTTGGTTTTCTTGTTGTCACATTTAACAGCGAAGCTCCTGGTTTGAGTCACAGTCAGCCACCATCTCAGTGCTGTGGAGACAACCTCCCGTCCTTCTGTCTGTCTCTCTGTCCTTCTGTCTGTCTGTCTTGGTGAGTTTTTTGACTCACTGTAAACTCAGCCTTAGTTTGAATTCCTACCGCCTCCTCTTCCCTCCTCAAGACTGGGAGGGTTTTTCCTATTGGCCCTGGTCACTGCCTGAATCAAACCAAGCTTCACTTCTTTCATTTTATCCCTGTGCTCTGTCTCTGTCTCCCCCTCTCCTCCCCTCTCCTCCCCCTTTCTCTCCCTGCCTACTAATATTATTTATGTCATTTTTTTCTTTTTGTTGGTGCTCATGTATTCGCAGCATACTAAACAGATCAAACTGACAGATTTTCTTCTGCATTTTCATTCCGTCTGTTTTGCACATTTAAATGTCAGACTTGTGTTTTTAGAGAGCGACATCCCAAGAAACGACCATTTTCTCCTGATCTCACTGTGATTTACGGGGCCAGATATTTGACCCATTAATCATCACATACCTGTGCCCAGACCTACAGAGTAAAAATGCCACCACTTGCATGCCTTGATGCAACTGAGACAAAAATATTTGTGCTGCCACTGGACAGAGAGTCTCCATGTTTCTGTCATGGAGCTGAAACACCAGCAGACCCTAAAAACCTCCGTCTCTGCAGCCAGAGCGAAAACATCTTCTGCTGAAACGACGACTATTTTGCATAACAGAAAATTATTTGTCCTCAAAGTACTGCTGTTTGTTCTGATGGTCTGGGGTTGGCGAGTGGTTGCTGGTTTAAATGTAGCAGCTCCCTGCTGTAGAAAAAGCATTTACCCCCCTCTAGTGGTGCAAAGTAAAAAATGCATTCTGCATGACAAAATGGGAGAAAAACTAAAACAAACACAAACGCAGTCCTTTGTAACAGATAGAGGGCAAACTTTAATAATACAAGTAAGTAAAAGTGTCTTTAAATATGGTATAAAAATAAATGCAGGACAGAATAACAAAGAATTATGTTCTACATTAGACAGGAGACAGCTTTTTTTTCTTCAGAATTTTGAATGTGACTTTACAAGTGCAATGGCAACTGCATGTGCTAATTATTGTAGTGCAATAAAATAATACAAACAAAAATATAAATGCACAATAAATAATAAGAATTGTAATCATATTATATGTATATATATTTATATATAGTATATTCATTCTGCACAACACTTCCCATAGCATGACAACGTATTTCTGAACTCAGATCCTGTAAAGCACTGACGTGTGTTCGCTTTATCAGTTCGATCTGTCATGTTTATTTGTTTGTGGTTTTCTCTGTGGTTTTTCCCCCTACTTTTCTCTCTGACATCATTTGCTTTAGCTGGAAGTGAGAGAAGGGGCTCCGGCCCAGCTGTTAGGATGGAAAGAACCAGAATACTACAGTCGAAATTCCTTTTTTCAATTACATTTTCTTATTCTTTTTTTTTTCTCCTGCAGGTCTGTGAATGTCCTTACAAGTCCAGCAGTGTCTCCCTGCTGAGAATACTAGGAATATAACAGGGAGTGTAAGAAGAGAGACAAAGAAGGAACATCCTCTCCGTGGACATGCAACATCCTGTGGACAACAGACGGACAGAGGGCCTGGCTCATCGCCCAGCTGAGCCAAGTACGGCTGGACAGACAAAGATGACAAAGAGATGAGATGATCCTTCTCTCCGTGTCCCGTAGAGGGATACAGAGAGCGAGATGGCAGGTTAGCGGGACGACAAACAACTGGTCAGCCTCTTGGATGCCTGTGGGTTCCCCTGGTACAGGAACGAAGAGAAGATAGAAGAACTGACATCAGTGTGTAAGTTAGAATGAACAAAATTCATTGTTGAAGTGACAGTGCATGTAGGCCCCACCTCTCTCCTGCAGAGGGAGCTATAAACACAGTTTATTTGCCCTGGTCCACAGATTGAATGTTACTTCATTCTGTAACTCAGATTTTTACATTTCAACATAAAGCAAACCATTTAGATGTTTATTGTAAGTAAGTATTTTGTGTAATAAAGAGGAGCCTTTAAGATTCCCCTTTAAGGAACACAAAACTATTGCAAAGAGTCGCAGGGAGGCAAATAAATGTCGATTTAAATATTTATTTGTCTCACAGGGTGAGAATATCACTCATTTGTAAATTATTTATCAAGTTATTAAATTAGGTAAAATTTTTAAAGCCGTTGTTTTGAAAGGTTTAGAATGGTGTGTTGACAATACTCCTGTCTACACAAAGGGGGCGCTGCGGAAATAGTTTTTGGATCTGCTTGAATCTTTAATAATCACGTGCATGTGTGTAACAAATATATGCAGTTTGCCATCTTTATGTCGGATCAAAACGGTAGCCCAACAATGATTCAGGTTATTTGCTGCCACCTACTGGCTCCTTCTCCCAGAGATAATAATGTCTATCCAGAGGTGATAGAACCACTGGTAAATAAAAGAGGGAAACCAAGAAAGGAGAAGAGAAAAAAAAAATCCCTCCACACCTTTAGGTGGAACATCAGTCTTACCTGGAAGGAACAGCCTTCAGAACAAGTTCTTGCTTTTCTGTGAACAAAAGAAGGTAACATTATAACTAGTACACATTATAATAAAAAAACATATTGGGCAAAACTATTAACCCAGGATTTAGTGTTAGCCTCTAACATCGTGAACCTTTGGAAGTTGTTTTGCTGAAAAGAGATTTTTTAATTCCTCTCAGTCTGATGATGTTTTTTTTTTTCTTACCTTCTTCTTGGCCTGTAATAATTCCTGGTAGGCACTAGAGCGAATGAAACGACTGTAAGAATCACTCTTCATCAGCTTGTAGATGTGTTCCTGTCGTGGAAACATTGGTTTTAGACGTCAGAGAAACGAGAGCGGCTAACGCTCGTTAGCTACCGGAGCGAGAGCCCTACACACCTGTGCATCCTCGAAGGCGTAGCGCCCCGGGTCTTTGACATTCTGAGTGGTTTTGTCGTAGCTCTTGGAGTCTACGTTGATGGCACTGGGGGCTCCAGGAGCCAGAAACTCCTGCCAGATTTCCTGAACCCGAGCAGGAACTTCTCTGATGGGACGTTTCTTTAGTTCTTGGACTGCTAGCCAGAACCTGGAGACATGTGATTGTCAGGACTGTCGCTGTAGAATATATATCTGGACTCTGTGTGTTAGTGAAGGTGTATTTGATCTGCACCTGAGATTCTCTGAGCTAAACTCCGACTCCAGAAACTTAAGAAACTGTTCTCTACCGATAGGATCTTTCAGAACCTCGTCGATGCCAAAAGCCCACCTCTTTACCCTCTGCTGGCCGGGTTCCTTACTGCAGACCAAGAAATCAGAGAGGAAGGTCAAACACAACAGAGAGTTCTGGGCCACAGGAAGTCCAGTCCAACACTCGTTCACTATGTACAAACACAGTTTTCTGCACATTTAGCTTTAACCTTTAGCATTCAGACACAAGGAGAAAAATAATACTGGTGAATGCTAACTACTGATCTTGTTTCTTGAGTCTCCGTTCTGTAGTCATATGCTGAGGAATTAGCACACAATCCTAACCAAAAAGTTGCGGCTAACAGCTTTTTCATTGCCAAGACTTGGCCTTCGGTGGATGCTCCTTTAATACCCAAACCTGTTTACCTCTCAAATGAAGGGTTCAGTCTGACTCTGCTGCCATCGCAACTTACAGACGTTGAGTTTGTAATAATGTTAATAATGAATAGATTAAAGTCTGTCATCCTGTCTGTTAAAGAGAAGGTTTAGATTTAGTTTGAAAATCACAGAGACACCAACACACCCACCTGGCTTCGAGCTCCCAGAGTGTGGTGTCATCTGAGATCCAGGGGTTGGACGGATCCGGGGGCGTGAGGAACGGGTCGTATTCTACGTACTGCTCTGTGTAGCCCAACAAACTGTGCATTAAACGTGAAGAACGGAGATTAAATTAGTGGAGAACGATCTCTGGAACTATTAGGAACCGAACACTTAATGTAATTTTGTCGTCATGTTAGCAGGGTTAGCGTTGCGGCGACTGAGAGTCTGAGCAGAGCAGATTGGATTGTTCTGCCGAATGTCAACAAACCAACGCAAACCAACCCTAACACTGTTGTTAACAGAGAACTGTTGCTGGCTCCAGTCCCTCCACAAGGTCACCAGAGCTCTTAGTTCAACGCCATGTTAGGCCGTTTAACAGCTCGATAAACAGATCGATGGCTAAACTGAATAAAGGCCCCAGCGACATCACTCACCTCTCTGCCACTTTGGACATTTTCAGTCGATGCCGGTCTAATTGCAGTTGCCAAAAGGTGATCTGAAACCACAGCAGGGGAAAACATGCTGTTGCATCAATCTGGATGGAAAATATTGTTTCTGTTTGTACCACGGTCAACTATTTACATAAATCGCATCAAACTCGAGGCCCGCGGGCCAAATCATATTCACATATATCGCATGTGTCAAACTCGAGGCCCGCGGGCCAAATCCGGTCCATCAAATCATTTTAATACGGCCCACCAGAGCTTCTCGTATGTATGGTCTGGGTGTGTACTGGAAAGGTTCAAATGCAGTGGTCATATTCTCAATGTGTGTAACATAGCAGCTAACTCAACAGTGTCGTCAGTACTAGATTGTTCTAGAAATGTTGATCCTTTTCCACCCAAAACCAAGCCTGGGTTTTACATTCCGGCCTCTTGACTTTGACACCCCTGCTCTGTATGAGAAGTGCATTTCACCACGGGACTAATTATTGGCATTTGTAACATTTTTGTGACGAAAAAGTCCATCCTAGATTTTGAGCTTCTGTTCCAAATATTGAGAGCACCACCTGCTGGCCTTACCTGTTCCTGCAGTTCCTCTTCCGTGGGCTGCTTGGCCTCTGGGGCAGGAGTGTGGGTCGGGCTGTGGGTACGGATGTCATTCTGTAGTCCATACACAGACTGAAACGACAACAAAGGACAGTGGACAACTGTAGACAAGAAAGACCACAAGGAAGTGACTGTGGTACATGTGGGCCACATGGGCCACGTGGGCCACGTGTGTTTGCTGAGGCCGTACCTTCCTGGTTTTGTGGGGGTTTTTCATTCTGGACGACTTCTTTATGTCAACTTCTGTTGTGTTCACACATCCAGGCTGAGAGAGAAGTGAGGCGGAGGAAACAGAGGAGCGTTAATTCAACTCAAATTTCCTTTTTTAAAGCAACATAATCCGTCTTCCCCGCACTTTCATCTTCCTCTCCTGGAGGTTCAGACAGGGGAAGGTGCAGTTCTGCTGCCATTATATGACTTTCAAAGAACCAAATCCAATATGTTCTTCTGGAGCGTGAAGTCAATCTGTGAAGTCTCCAGAACTACAGTATGTGTCAGATGCTGCTTAATTAAACAGGGAACGTGCCAAACGTAGCAGAAACAAGTGAGGCAGCAGGAAATCAAAGTCTTTGTGTGCCAATTCTGTCTGATTGAACAAGTGGTCTAATCTTCCCGGAGAACAGAGCTAAGTAGCACCACGGCGTCACTGTGAAATTTGTATTAATATTGATTATGTTGCTCCAAGGACGCATGAATTGAACTTGTTATTCTCCAATTAGGCATGAAGCGGTGGCTCTGAGGGCAACAGGCAGGAAGAGGAGGAGGAGGAGGAGGTGTTTAACCTCGGGGGGTAAAAGTAAAAATGTTCATGTTAAGCAAATGTGTAGGAAGAAGTCAGAGAGCAGCTGTAAAATGAATGTGTTGTGACAGCGACTGATGTGACAGCGACTGATGTGAGGCGGCGTGACGCAGAATTAGTCACAGGCAACTTGTCTGTTTCAACCCTGAACATACATATATACAAATATAATAATGTATGTATGTATATAATATAATATGTATATATATGTAATATTTATTGATAAAGATATCAAACCTTTGACAACCCTATTTATTATATGTGTATGTACACACAGTACATATATGTATGTATATATTTGCATACACAACTCAACTGAAGGTTATTAAATATTTGGAATTTAAAAATAATTTTGAAAACTTTAAATAACCATAAACAACAAATGTATATAAGTATATGTATCTATTTGCATATGTATATAATAGACAGATGTGTGGTATATACAATATGTGTATATATATTTATATATATACACACAAACAAACACTATGGTAAAATGTTCTCTTTTTTGAACTAACGTTTTTCTAATTGATGTGAGAGTTGGAAATAGTTCTACCTGAACACAGTGACTATGAACAGGTAAAATAAAAAGAATTAAAGTAATTTTACTCACCACTGGTCTGTGCACGTCCCAGAATGCTCTTTCCTGACTGTCGAGAATTTTCCTCTCAATTTTGTCTCTTTTCTTGTCCACTCTGTGGAGAGGAGATTTGGTCTGTGATCTTATTGTTGTTATTGTTCAGCTCAACTTCAAAGATATGTGCACGATGTTTGGAGGAAGGTTTTTGCAGTTTTCATTTAAAACCTACTTTGCTTGTGCTTCTGCTTGCATAAAAATGAACTCCCATTTCCTGGCGAAGGCTCTCTGTAGCCTGGCTAAGCTCTCCTGCAAATAATAGACAGAACTTACGGTTGAAAAGAGGATTTGATGGAGGAAGGTCACCTGATTACGGTGTTGTTGCCAAAGATAAACACACTGCCAGATTCCTCCTTGATGGTCTTTTCATGCACAGAACAGACGAACTACCTACATTATGACCAGGTGATTACAGTGAGATGTTTGGTTACACTGACAATTAATGCATTGACATGCTGAAAAACAGCGTCTTAATGTACACAAATATCCCCCGAGGGGAGGGTGGTGGGGGTGGTGGGGTGTCAGGAGACTGAGGTTGTTGCTGCACTTACTGCTTCATAGTCTGCAAGTTCAAGACGTGCTTTATTTTGCATTGTTCGTTTGCAGAGGTAAACAGCTGGAAGAGAGACACAGGGAGAAAAACAGGAGAGAACAGGATCTGAGCCGGGTTTTTACAGCTTTAAGTGGCTCTGCATTTACTCATTTAATCCTCGCAAATGAACATTTAAATTGGCCTGCATTTCGCAAAAGGTCATTGCATCTAAGTGTATGTTGCTGTGTGTGCAGGAGAGAGGAAGAGGGGGGGGGGGGGGGCCGTGTGTGCAGGAGAGAGGAAGGGGGGGGGGGAGACGGAGAGAGACTTATGTCTTGCTCTCTTCCTCCCTTGATCCTTTGTTAACTGACCATTATGGGGAAGCTTTCATTATGCCATTAGATGGTTTTCATTAAGGCACAACATTCACATAGATCACTTGTAACATGTAGCTCCCACAAATACCCACAGAGTTTTATTCATTGTGTGTTTTTTTTAAGAATATAAAATATTCGGCAAAACCAAAAATATAAAAAAGAATCACATGCTGGTAATTTATAGAATGATCAAATATCGATGTATAAACTTTAGTGATATAATTAAAATTAGGATTGTCAAAATAAAGACCTTAATTGGGTTCATTAATTGGTGAAATAAATTGGCAGAATGAGGCAGTGGAATCCAATAATTCCACTGTTCGTCCAATAATCAATGCAGGAAGCATTTGTCACCAAAAAAACAACAAAAAAACAACCCAGTCTGACATTATTTCTCCTACTGTTCCAGCAATATACTGAAAAAAAAATATGTTGATTTATGATTAATCATGAATAATTCCAATCACAAGTGATTAATCACAATAAATTATTACTATTTTTATATTATTAAAATAAATGAAACAAATACTCCACATAAACACACACAACAACGCAGCTGGTTTTCTTTGGTGTAAATAGGCTGCATTAGTCAGACGGTAACACCGAGGCAGGGAGCACTGACTCAGAATGGAAATACATAAAGAAAATAAATAAATAAAAATACTTGAAATATAAATGAGGTGGAAAAGAACACACAGTTATAGCAGGCCCACTGTGTTGTACTTCATTCTGCTTGGTTGTGCAGCAGAGGGGGAGAGAACTGAATGTGATTTCATCTTCCCACCAGTTGCTTGATTTGTGTCTCACTCTCTGAACTTTTGGCAACAGTAAGTAGTAATATTATAAATCTGCACTCGGGCTCTACACGTTTTGGATCTTCGTTTGCACATGAGACGACATGAACACAGTACAATTCAGACTTCGACCGAGCACGTCTCCTACCATAGTCTGTGTTTTCTGGTTCCCAGCAGTTTGATGGCCAAAAGTACGGAGTCTGGAGAAAGAAAAAGAAAAGTTATTAGTAATGAAATTAAAACAGAAACAGCTTCACTTTTAACAGGAGGTAATGAAAAAAAAAACCGACACGTGGTGTTTTGATGTAACTCAGCTCACACTATCATGCGAGGTGAACATACAGTCACAGCAGTGCGTCTGTCACAATACTCCATTTTGTTGTATAATGGGGTCCAAATTACATCTGAAGCATGTGAGCTCATTTCACTCAGCCCTGGGCCCAGACAGCAGTCTGAATTTTCACATTCCTTGTTCACCACTATATGGACTCAATGGCTCTGGATGAGAAGTAAACACACACACACACACACACACACACACATACAAAAAAACCCAAAACAAAGCCTGTTACAACACAGCCCCGTCCTGACACGTTGATTTATTTCAGATCTCTCTCTGCAGCAGAGGAGATTATTGGAGGGGAAGTCATTAAAGCCGTCAGTCTCACTAATAACATTCAGTGTTTTTAGCTCCAAAAAAAAAAACTGTAAAATTATGAAGAACAGCAAATGCTACGCAATTAGTGTTTTAACTTCAACACATCACACAGAGACACAGTAAATGACATTATTCCAAACCCATATAGATGTTACATTCAGGAGCAGCTATCATTTGGTTGTATTTATCTATTTGAATGGCAGCCAATTACACTTTAATACACTTTCTAAAAGAATCTGTAAATGTGGTTAAGTTAGAACATTTCAGGTTCATTTTAATAGTCTGACATTAACCTCATGTAACTTGAGCTTATAATTATATTTCATTTTTTTATTCCTAGCTATATTTAATCACAGCACATGTTTAGACCAGGATGCAGACTTTGACAAATGCCTAACAAACCACTTCTTTTTTTATCCTTCAGATAAGTAGGTTTCCAACCCGACGGACATTAAAATCCAGGAGATCGATGATAACACCGAGACCTTCAGTCTGACTGGACAATGCTTTGAAAAAAAAGAACAGGCTGAAGCGAATGTTATCCTTTGCACGCCATTCTGTTCACTTTCATCTTCAAACCTCAAAGTGAATGAATCTTGTTCATTTTACTTATTCATCAGGATCATCAGCAGCAGACAAATCGTTCCGCCCTGTTCTCGTCCTGCTGTCTAATTCAGCCAGTCTGGAGGTTTGGACTCATTTTTCTACAAAAATGTATTTTGTCTGATTGTTGGTTCCTTTCCAAAGAACTTTGCACCCACTCGTCGTCAATAAAGCTGCTTTTTACTGGAGTTGAAACATCAGGTAGTAATAATACACAACATCACTTAGTGATGTTATGCTGTAGTACCTTGTGAAACTACAAAGTGAAAAGAGATTTGGGAAGAGGCATTTTACAATTAGTTGATAGATGATGACAGGTCAACAAAATCATTCTTACCTGAAACCTGTAGAAAGTACCATCGTCTTTGAGAGTGAGCACGTGATCGGAGATCGGAAAGAAATAACCGTGTGCAGCCATCAGTGTTCCTAAGTGAAGAGCTTCCACTGAGGAAAAAAAACAACAGATTTTTTGTTTTGTTTGTTTTGTTTTTTACAAAACACTTTACGTTCAAATGTTTGGTTTTTTACAAAACACTTTACGTTCAAACCATGACATTCATACACACAGGACAACAACTAAATATATCTGGTGTTTTTTCTGTGTCCTCTTTTGGGTGCAGCAGGACTGTAAATTAAATGATCTTACTTCATTCTTTGCACCTATTGCTTAGTGTATTATTAGTGTACTATTGTGTCACTCCTGTGATATTGTTGTGGATAAATATATTTGTTTTATAGACTAGATCTATTAATGGAATTGAAAGTTTGCCTGAACTGAAGAAAAGCCATCACCTTTGAGGTTTGTTTTTCGCTTAGCTTTTGACTTGGCAACCCACTATAATTGTAGAGCCTGGCAACCCAAAGTGCGTCATGCTTTGTAACTTGGTGACGTAGAACATGTCGCCGTAGCCCATTGGCTGCGTACAGCAGCGACAACGGAAACGTTCTGTTTTGGAGCCGGTTTCAAAACAGACCGTGGAGTTTACGGGTGAAGACATTTACTGATGGATTATCGACTGATACACGTGGAGCTCGAACGGCCGAGGTTCGAAATGGAGAAAATGTTCGTATGCTGACGCCGTCGGTTGTGTGAGGGTTAGCAAGTTGTTCAGAGGAAGCTCACAAACGAACTGTCGTAAAGCTGCCGCATAGCGTCGTGGTGAGTACAGACTGATGATGACGTAAAAACTTATAATAAATGCAGCGTCAATGTCATGTACAAAATTCTAAATGTGTTGGTGTGAATTGAACCCTGGGTTAAAATCAATTTCAATTTTCTTTTCACATAAAAAAAGCTATGAAAATAATGTGTTTAGAACATAATAGGAAATATTGCTTGTTTACTGTTTCCTAATTAAAGAAACAGTCTAATGTCACTTCCATATGTGCAAAATACCGTGTTGTTCATTTCTTGGGCAGTGTATTTTCTTCTTATGTATTTCTTTTTTTTTTACTATCACTTAATACATTGTGTTATTCCTGTTCATCAGAGCTAGGTCTGAGTATGTTTACATCCTTTATATTTTAAAAGTGAAAGCATTAAAACATAAATCTGCCCCAAGGTTATATTCTTTTCTTTTTTTTTTATGTTTCTGTAATTGTTATTCTGCGTTTCATACTTTCTAGCTCAGCGTGTTGTCTGTCTGTCTCTCATTCAATTAATTATCCTTATTCACATCTCTTGCTTGGAAATATAAAACATGAGCGACTTGTGACACCTGGATCTGAACCATTAGCTTGTGCTTTAATAGACCCTGGCCCAGCTGTGACAAGAGGTCACCCCCTCCCTGGTAACAGCACAGTGGGAGGCCTCACTGATTATCCTCACTGTCAGCCACAACTCATCAGTCAAATCACTCAGTTTGCTGCAGTGAATCTGCTCCTCTCTCCTGTCACTCACCAGTGTCCTGTACTGTCGACTGTCCCTAATGATGAAAACATTTAATCTGGGTTGGTCATGAAATATTTCAAGTATAAAATCCACGGTTTTATTTGGCGTGAACAAACTTTATGGAGCCTTCATTATTCCTGTCACATGCTGTAATTATTTAAAGAATGTCTGTTAAATGCCTACAGGAGGCATGTGATAATGAGATATCTTAAAACCCTTGCCATGCTCTGAACAGGCTTTTTGTAAAGATTCTAGCTGTGTGCTTATAAAAGTATCTCTAGGGGAGACATTTAACACATTCACATCTGTGTGTGTTTGTGTGAGAGACAGTGAGACTGGGCCTTATAAATAATCAACAATAAGTCATATATTATTTAACCCTGTGTATTCATAAGCAGAACCTATGAGCACGTTCTTATTTACTGTACGTTTAGACTTTTATATTTCTGTGAACACCTGTTTTTACTTCTACAAATAATGCACTGACATTGATTGAACCTAAGTTAACATGCAATCGCAACAATATCCTCAGGAAACTTTATTGCAAAGTAGTCCAAATAAAAATAAAATCCTCAAAACAACACTGCAAAGTAGTCCAAATGGAAAAAATAAAAATAAAATCCTCAAAACAACAGTAAAGAGAACTCCAGCTCCAACTCCAGGTATTTCTACTCAATGGAAACCAGTGCAAAAAAATGCAAACCTAGGTTCTAAGGAGATCTAAGAGTAAATCACCTAACATGTTCACAAGGCAGCGCATGGTTACGTCGCCATCTCCCATAAATATATTTAGTAGGAACAGAATTCCAACGTAAGTCGAGGACCCCCATAGTCGGTATAGGCAAGGACACAATTGCAATTACTAGTACTTGGATTGGTTTGTAAAACTAGTATCAGGACAACCCTATTTGTTTGTACTGTATGAAAGTGTCAGGCTTTTATATAACGTATTTAAGGCTCATCTATAGGTATTATAACTGACTAAACCTTGGACTGCAATTAGTCACGTTGTTGAGAAAGGCCAGCCCCTCAGTCTGGGGGGAGAACATCCTTTGATGTCGTCATATTATCAGCTCTGTGCCAAAAAATAAAAAACCCCAGCAGGTTGGAGTACAGCCAAGTGGAGTGTGGGAGTTCTCCTGCCAAGTTTTTCTGATGACAGAGGAGTGTCTATAGCACAATTAAATCCTGATTAATGTTAACACAATACAGGATCTGAAAAGAAATCACTGCTTTAATAAATGTTGAAATAATAATAAAGTAACTCTGATATCTGGGGCATTTAAACTATTACATTAAAATCTTTTTAAAATGATTTTCTGAGCAGAACATTGAAATAACTGAGGCTATTTTTAGTGTAATGGACGTACATGCAGGTTTTTTCATTTTGAAAGAACCATTTTTTTCCCCTGTGTATTATGCTGCGGTTGTAGTGCAGTAATCCCAAGAAACTCAAAAAAAAAAGATCATCTGAAGTGCTCCTCTGCAGGAGTGGCTCCTGATGAATCTGCTGATCAGGCCTTAAAGAGGTTGGAGGAGAACAAGAGCATTCTGTCAGCTACTAAATACCTCTCCACCCTCAGATGAGCCGTATGCCGTGTCTTAAGAAAATCACTTCCCAGTTCCCAGTTGTTCTTTTACATGCATTAAAAACTCCTGATCACACACTGGCATGCAGTGTCGGAGTATACCAGCATTTAATTTGACGTATCATTTTCCATGTCTGTCTACAGTCATGTCGGGTGTGCTGCATGCTGGTTCTTGTTTCCTCTTTAATTGTTGTTTGATTTTCAGCTAGTTTGTCCTAATCCAAACAAACTGAGCGGTTGGTCCTTTTTAAAGGATGCATACATTTATTCATCTTCTGTTTCCTAATCCTTTTTTCAGGGTTGAGGGATTGAAAGGTTGAGGGATTGTACTGAAGCACAGGCAGGGCAATTTGAGTCCATTGCAGGTCGAAATATATAGAGCGTATATAGACCAAACTTATTTTGGTTCGTGGGTCGAATACAACATAATTAGATGTCAAGTGGGCCGGACCAGTACAATCATAACATAATTAACTATAAATAACAATAAGTGCATGTTGTTCCCCTTTGTTTTCATGTAATGAAGTTCTATGGGTGAAAAGCATATTATATTTAAATGGTCTTTAGGAAAATAGTGCCTCAAATAATAATAGTAAAAAAATCTAAAACTAATAACTTTTAGCTGAGCTTTGGTGATGCCCCATAAAAGGCCCTAAATGGAAATGGGATTGCCACAATGGTCAAATCAAATGTGATCATCTGGAGTGCATTACAAGAGTATCATCAAAATTGTTGAACAAGAAGGAGAAAAAAAAAACCTGGTCGTCAACTTTGATACCAGCTCATCTGCTCTTATAAAAAAAAATGTTATAAAAACATGCGGCCAACGTGCTGTGAATCTAATTAATTGCATTTCACTTTGCAGTGTATGTCCTTCCCGCTAGTCAGAGTAGCTGTGTGTCGGAGTCATTTATTGTTGCACGGCACCGAGTTCACGGCCACGGGGCAACTGACAGCATGTTTTCCAACTGAAAAATTACAACGATAAAAAAAGAAAACACCATAAAAGACAATCACCAACTGCATTGGAAAAACAAAAAACATTTAGTGAGTATAAACGTCCACTAGGGCTCCCTTTGCTTCCAACAATAGCGCAAACTAAGTACAGGTCCTATTTTGGAGTTGGATCAAATCGACATCCTACAATAATCTCATGCTAATCTGCCTTTATTTTGTTACAGGTCTGCTGTTTTTACACAGGCTTTAACAGGAGGCAGATATGACACACGTTGCTGACACAAGTAGTGGTGACATAAACAAGAATAACAACCTATATAATCCACTTTATACCACATCCAACAGCTGCCCGTGCTGTCCCCGCAGAGCCCCCTGATTTATATATTCCACAGATACATTTTGGTTGTAAAGCACAAGAAGCGATTCAGAAGATGCTACCGTCGTGTGCAACACAGGTTAATAGATAAATCGATAGATAGATCGATCTTTATGAATCACTCGGGAGTTCCCTTTGGGACATTTTTGAATATATCCTAACTTTGTAAACTTCATTGTCATATTCAAACACGTTCAGGTGAGGTTTTCACTTTTCTTATCCAAAACTTGTTCATCTTACAATATGGCAGCAGCCCCAAGACAGTTGAAGTTGTCTCACATTGTAATAAAAGAAGATAATAATAGAGTAAAAAAAAAAGAAAATGAAATGAATAGGAAGTGCACCATGTGTTGTAGCTCAAGGACACAAAAGGAGACATCAAAGAGTAAAGACGGAACTGTACAGAAAAAAACTGTTCAGGACGTAGGGATCTATTACACTGTTGCAAAGGAAGATGGTTTGTAAGTTTAAGCTTTATTTTTAGCTCATATTTGCATATATTTTGCAACACAACCTGATTGCAATTATGATGAAATGATTGTATCATTTTACAACATTCATCACATTGAGATGGGCATTAAAAGTAATGATACTGTTTTTAGAAAAAATATGCTTGGATGTAAAACACGTATCCTCGCCAAAGTGAACTTCAACAGTCGATTGCGTCTTTAAAGAGGCTAATTATAACAAACTTGTTGCTGACAAAAAGTTTCATGATTCCTGCCTTTACCTTGATCCTCAATGTCCAAGTTCTTGATCATCCACTGTACAATATCTGAACCTGAAAAAAGAGGAAAGAAAATAATAAATCATAGTCAGTAATAGCTCAGAGGGTTCTACTAGGACTGAATTTAAAAAAGGGCAAATTTTAAAACCTTCAACATTTTAAAACAAGTCTTTCAGGCATCACCAAAAGCTTTGATTCAGTTCTTTATTTCTTTATATTGGCGCTGAAACCTTCAACATTTTAAAGGCATCACCAAAAGCTTTGACAGTTCTTTATTTCTTTATATTGGCGCTGAGATGAGGAACATTTAACAGGAACCGATGCGCTGGGTCCATGCTGTCTCAATACAGATATACAATAGAAATGTTGTTGAGGACAATGGCTGCACAGGAGTATTGAAAGCAACTCTTGACATGCTCTTCAAGCCAAGATGTACAGTACTGACTAAACTCTCCATGAAGCAAAAGTGTCCGACACAGCTACCTGCTGTCATTTCTACTTCTGATAAAGCAATATGTCATACTTAGAATCCTGATTTATGTTGATTATCAGTATTGACCACAATTACTCATGGCTAATCTAGAATCCTCTACAGCTACACTGCGATTAATCATATTAAACATTTGAATTGTTTCTATCGCCCTACTTTTTGACTCACCCTAATATAAATGCAAACAAAAGAGAAAATGGTGACCCTTCTCACTCTGCACACTGACCTTCACCGTCCTATGCACAGTGAGTCATATCACCTTGTACAAAGTGTGTGGGTAATAGGCCGTCCATTATCAAATACTATTTTCTGACATCCATTCCAAGCCATTTGTCTTTGGTTTAGCCCATATATGAATATGAATATGAATCACCTTAGAGGTTAAAAAAAACAACAACATTTTACAGTCAAAAAGAAATTCTATTGGATTGGATGACACTACTGAACGTGACTCTATTCACATCTACACCAAACAAGTTCTAGAAAGGACTAGAATAGATGTAAATAGAGTCATACGCTTCCAAACAACTTCTGTTTGAGGAGGTAACTAAATCAGTTTCACATCCTTGAAAAACATCACAGCATCTTCTGCCCCAGGGGCATTTTTTCACACCCCATAACATGAGACTGTGCCACTGAGGCTAAATTTATTTTTCCCATCTATCATTACTGCCTGTCATGATGACAGATGAAGGTGTGTCGAGGAGACAAGAGCCAAAGAAGGCAGGGGCAGAAATGTGCGAAATGGAAATGTGAAGAGATTCATGCACTGACTCCAGTCTAGTCTTCCAGCATCTCCATCAATCTGTTGGTGTTGTGTGTCTCTGCAGCTCAGTCACTGAACCCAGAGGCCAGATGAGATTTCTAATGGATTAACATCATTAATGCTCCCCCATCTTTACACCATCAAAGATGACCCATTTTTTGAAGAGGAAGCTTAAATGAGATGTGTGTGCTAATCCTGTAACAAGGCTGTTTAAAGACTTGATTAATGTCATGGCCAGATGAAAAGCTTCTGCACTGGCATGCATGTGTGTGCAAGTCATATTTTAATGAAACGTGTTATAAAACAACAACATTAACCATTACTAATAGAGAGTGAGCAACGCTGATGCTGGTATCGGTGTCGGGCGGTACTTCTTTCCAATACTCGTACTCGAAAATGCGCCGGTTCAGTGACCCCCATACTTGATAAGGTTTTTTTGTTTTTTTTTAACTACAGCCAGCTGCGCACCAGTTAGCCAATGTTTTTGTGCTTTTCTACTGCAGTTCAGTGTCTCATTTCCCTCATGGTTAGTTTATTTAAGCCTGTCAATGATGTCAGAGGTTTGGGGTATTTTAACAGCACCTAAGAGCAGAGCAGTATAAATAAAAAAGCTTTAATTTCCGCCTACATTTAAAAAACATTCAGATTAGGGATTAGGTTAATTGTGCCTCTAAGGCTGATTTTTTTTTTTTCCCCATCTCTCTATCTGACATGAACTGTCGAGGCCGTGACCCAGGCTTTCCCTAGAAGATCACTGGGATTATCTCCACCCACTAGCCCCCGCCCACCTGCAACCCTGAGCAGGATAAAACGATGGAAAACAAATGGACAAAGACAATGTATTATAGCTACACAGAGCTGCTGCTTTAGTCAGTACTGACGTGGAATCATTCTGTACCAAATGGGAAGAAATTTTTTTTATTTTTTTTTGTTTCACTCATTAAAAAATGTGAACTAAGCCACATCTATATGTAGATGGGAGACAGTGAGGGAGAACATTGGTTTTAATATAAGTCTCTTTAGAATAAATGTTGCAGGATCAGCCAAAGTGTTACTGATTATACTATACTCAAGAAGATAAAATATGGCAAAACATGGTCACATTAAACTGTAGTTATATGGGATTAACTGATCACGTGAATCTCGTATCTCGAGAGGAGACTTACCTGAAAAAACACTGGGGATCTTGGTGAGAAAGCTTTTCACTGTTCGAATGGGGATGCCATTTTTCTCGTCCTGCATGCGGGCTATTACTTCCTCCATCTGAACAACACAGGGAGAGATAAAGAGGGCGACAGGAAGAGTGAGCGTTTTAAATTAAACTTGCTTTGCACAGGGTGTGAGCAGGACACAAATAAGTAAACAGACGGAGGTTTCTGTGAGGTTCAGGTTGACCTCTGGAGAGAAGTGAGAAAAATAAATTGCGTTTGTCAGATATATTTCCTGTCCTTTGATAAATCTTCAGATGTGTTGTTTTCCTGTGTTTTATATATATATATATATATATATATATATAAAGTCACATTGCCCTCTGCCACTGCATATTTGATTTTTGGAACAAATGCAAGCTTTTAATGCGTCACAATTAATCCTAGTTCAGCGGATAAGAAACATTTCTGTCACTCAAAAAGGGAAATTAAACCTAAGCTACAAATGAAATGGAGAAAATGTCAAACGGAGACAAAGAAACAACTGTGCAAACACACAAACATGTCCAGGGTCACTGGGACTTAAATGCACTGGGAATGTTCTCAAGGGTCTGTCAGGAAAACAAAATACAGATATACAGTTTCCAGGAACACACAGAAGGGAGTAAATGGTACAGTGGCCCAGATCCAGTACATCAGAGCTGAGAGATCTTCTGTCATTCCTCCCTAAGGGTAAAAATATACGCATGGAAAATATGTAAATACTCAGTACCATTGCTTGGTAACACATTTTAATGCACAGCCAGTCTGCCATTCTTTTTTTCTTTTTTTTTTACCAACACATGAAGAGGTTACCACCTGTGTGTGATTTGGCACAATTTATGAAATAATAGAAAAGTTCCTTATTAAAACCATCCCCAGGGTTCACTCACAACAGTGTGTCTAAAGAGCTTTCCGGAAAAATGGCAGAGAGGATACAGGAATAGTGCTTGGTCCTATGAAAGTCAATTAAAGCTAAAATGATTACAAATAAATTATCAACTGTGTGCGTGTGTGTGTGTGTGTAGGTCTGTGCGGCTGTATTTAATTCCAGCCATATTGATGGTACTTGGAAAGACAAATACGTATGAGGTGGTACGAGGTGTCCACTGATTTTCTTTTATTTATTTATTTTTAAATTTGACTGCGTGGTCTGTGTGAGAGTCGACTCAGTCAGACACGGAGCAAATAGGGACAAAGGCAACAATGATCAGTCTCTTCACACACACTTTCTTATCTCTGCAAACCCTCACCGCCTACACATGGTGAAATGCCACCAGCATGAATATTCGGGATCTAAAGCTCTTGAAGTCGGGATGCTCTCTGGCTTCATGTTGTGAGGAAAAGAGAGGTGTTGAGAGAGAGAGAGAGAGAGAGAGACAGTGAGAGAGGTCCCTCCACCCCAACAACATCTCTCTCTCTTGCCGTCTCTCTTTGTCTTTCTGTCTTTTTCAGTGCCATCTCTCTTTGTCTTTCTGTCTTTTTCAGTCCCTCCACCCCAACAACATCTCTGCAGCCTCTTAACAAATAAGAGTGAGTGTTTTGGCTGCACACTGTGAGTCATTGATTAACTACAGTACAAAAACCCCCAACACAATAATCTGAGGCAACATTTGTAAAGAGTAGGAACAAATATCTTAAACTGTCTTTGAATCAATGCCAGGGCCTTTTAGATGTCTTTTTAGCCATTGTTAAGTGCACTGTAAGTCCAGTTATTTGACAGACCGTGGCGTTAAAAGGCCCACTTACTAGAACCGTTTTTTTTTTTTTTTTTAAACATGACAGAAAGTGGTTTTTTTTGGTCATTGTTTTTCCTGAAAATAAGCTGAGGACCGGATGTTTTTGTTGCCATGGTAACAATGATAACTGGTTGTTTTTTGTGTGTTTGTAGTAAAGGTGTGGTCAATGGATATTTATTGACGTGTAGTTGACAGTTGACTGTCTTACTTAATTAAATTAATGTTGTCATTTCTATGCAGATTATACTGCTACCTACCACAATTATTAATGTGCAAAAGCACTTTACTGCAAATTAGATTAGATTAAATTAGATTTTTAACAATTAGATTAGCCTTACCACACTAGGGTGATTTCATGTCGGTCAAATTGTCTGCATTACTAGAAAAATGTCAGTGCAATATTATAATAAAATAAATTAAATAATAATCCTTTCCAAGTGAAATATTGTGGCTATAATTTCTAAGTTATTTTGCATTTGCAGTAAAAACATACTCACATGTAACTAACGGGTTAACTGTGCACTAACCTCTGATAGAGCTTTATAATTAACATAAAATGCAGATAGAGATCATTTTCTGTAGACAACTTCTGATGTGCTGAGGAAATGAAAAGCTCTCCTATTGTCCTTAGTTCCCTCCCCACCTTCACCTGACCCCCTACCCTTCCATGATGGAGTAGCCTGTGCTGAGGTGGCTGACCATCACTGTCTCAGTCGTGCAGAGAGAATTCTGTCACCTCTACAGTCGTTACCTGGGGATAAAACTGTGTCTGCACATGACGAGCACAAATATCCACCCATAATCAGAAATCATACAATACAGCATACGCGGAGCTAAACCATCAGTCACATTCAGAGCAAAGAAAATAAAGCGAGGGAGGCAGAGTGAGCGAGAACATAAGGAGAACTTTTTTTTTTTTTTTTTTTTTTTTATTAAATTGTGCATCAAAAGTAGGTGAGCAAAACCAGCTCAGGTCTCGCTGCCTCAGGCGATGCGAGAACATCCTGAACAGACCCTGTGGCTACACAGTATGACATCTCTCCCAGATAAAACGCTCTTTGCAGTTGGTTGATCTCGTTCTCGTCTGAAATGCAGTCCTTGGCTACAAGACCGGGACAGAATCCGCGGCGGAGGCTGAGTGAAGATATTTCAGTGTATTTTGCAGTTGCTTACATAAGGAAGGCAAAATCAGATCCCTGCTCTCAATGTTAAATAGACCCAACACAAATTAGTTTCTTCGCAATGCTTCATTCACTTATATGTTATCCAACTGTGCAGTATACTGAAGTGGTCACAGGACGTGAAAAGACTCTCTTATTTGCAGCTCGTAGCCCTCGTTGCCACAAAACATTTTTACGATACTGACTATTTGTAGGCCCGTTCGCTATTAAGTGAGGCATGAACCACAAAGATAAAACAGATCTCTAAATGCACCAAGGTAAATGGGCCATGCAGGGAGTGAAAATATCTACCTACACAGTCAGTGATCCAAATCCAGCTCAGTAGTTCCTAGCATCTGAAGACTATTAAATATTAGAATTGAAAATATACTTTTTCCGTTGGTCTGTTCAGCACTGCGCCACTCCACCAGAGTAAAATCTGCTCTCAGGAAAAGGTGAAGTAGAGGGGAAATTCAGAGCTCACCACTCTGACGAGGCTGTCAAATCTGTGCCGTGAATCTTAAGTCTCTCTGAGGTTACCATACGTTTCTAGGTTACCACAGCAACAGTCTGGGACCACTATCACAAGGACATCTTTGGCAGCTCAGCATGGCTCATTCATAACAGATAAAGAAATCAGGCCACTGTCGGCAGTGGAGTCAGAGGGCGAATACGATGGAGGGGACGCAAAAGATTTTGTCTGTTGACCAAGACACGAGGAGGAAATGGATTTTCTTTTATCAGTGTAGGACTACGTACTTCGTTAACGGTCCACATGGAGCATGCAGCCCTCCTTCCTCTGAAGGTGGTGACTACGTGACAGTCAGTCCTGTTCCACACTGGTAAAATATTATTGTTTATAAAAATCTAATCTCCAACCCAATCAAAACTTAGAAAGAATACAATAAAATGATAATGAATTGTTCAGTACATACAAGAAATGCACATCATTATAGACGTGTCTGCATGTTGCTGGTCACACAGTCCACACAGTAGAGTGTTTGATGAGAGGACACAGATGGCAGCCAGACTTGGCTCTAGTACGGCTAAGCTCTGGGCCTTTAGAGAAAATATAGAGGCTTTTATCAAAAACTCTGTCTGTGAAACTTCTCAGTCTTCCAGACTGTTCCATCCAAAGAAGGTAGTTTGACTACCTCAGATTCAGACAACCCCTGAGTCACACCTTGGCCTCGGTGTAAACAACATCCTGTAAATAGGTCTGGGTGGGTGTATACATATAAGTATTCATTAATAGTGGTACGTAAATAGGTCTGGGTGGTTTATATACTGTACATATAAGTATTCATTAATAGTGGTAGGATTCTTGCCCTGCAAAAGTGGAATCAAATTTACTCCCCAGTCCCCGGTTGAGTCATGTCACGAAGGGCATGTGGTGTAAAACCTCTGCCAGAGCACTGTTAATGTGGCGACGCCTGATGAAGGAACCAGCAGCAGGTGTTTGTTCTCCAGTCTTTGTCGTACACACAGTACTGTATCTCTCAACTCTATCTTTTAGCCGTCGTTGCTAATATTGCATTTTCATTTTGTCTTGCCGCTTTTGTCCGCTCGTGCAATCTCCCGATTCACAGATAGGTGAATGCGCTGAAGTAGCATATTACATTGGGAACAGTCTGCTCTCGCAGCAGGTCAGAGTCAATGAACGTGAGGAACAGATGTCCAGGTGACCAGGCAGCCTGGAGGAAAAGGAAGCGTGCTAGATCCAAAGGAAATTGTTTATCCCTTTACACTTGCAGCAGATTCTGCAAACCAATGGTTATCCAGTTAATAACCTGTTCATCCACTGGAGTTTAGTTGCATAATCCTGTCTCCGTACACAACCAAGATTCACTGAGCTGTCAATCACAAAAGACATTTCCAGAATGTCACTGCATTTTTTCACACTTCAGAATGTTCTTTCGCTCCATCACATTAGTTTCATCTGCCACGGTTATTCTTCAGAGTGGAAAGATCTGTTAAAACTGCATCTCATTGCTTCAGTTTGAGTTTGTAGGTCAGACCCTCTCTCAAATTACAGACCATTTTTTGTATACTGGCAGCAAGACAAATGTTTTTTTAAAATGTCAACTAAAGTATTTATCTGTACATTTTGTGTTTCTAAATGTAGCAGTTGATGATGGACGTGTTTGTCAGGTTGGGAATTGGTGATTTATGTGATT